ATGAACTTTGTGGTCAGAAGTAGAATTTGGGTATTGAGGAGTGCTAAAGATCTAGCTCTAATGGCTTTATTTTTCTAAGATAATCCTTATTATGTACTGGATTATTTATCTCCATTGTATAGTCTAGGTGCCTAGAGGTTACTTGTTTAAAATAAGTTCTTTAATGAATAGATATCTTATAATAGTACACCTTTATATAATTAAAGGAGGAAAACAGTTTGTAAGATTGGAGTGTCTATGGCTTTTACATTTTTTAGGTATGCTAGTCATCTTAGAATGTAGACATTCACTTAGTAATGTATTTTACTTATTAGACTTTGGTGACAGCAGTGGAGTAGTTTATGTTTGAAATTTTAATGAAACTCATTTTTACCTTTTTTTTTTTGCCAGTTTAAAAAAAAACACTACTGACTCAGATTGAGGTAAAACTCTTAGATTTGAATAAATGAGTAAGTGAAGAAGCATTTATTATGTGCTTACTATTTGAGAAACATTGGGCTAAGTGCTGGGGACACAAATAGATACAAGTAGAAAAAGTTAATGAAATACTGAACCTGAGCTACTAGAACTACTTTACTGAGGTAATGGAAGCATATAGAGCAGTAGGCATAACATAGTTTAACTATTTTATCAGTCTGAAGTTGGGTTGAGAAACACTAAATCAAGAGGTTATCTTAGTAATTTTAGCATGAAGTATTTAAAGTCTGGGGTGATTTGTTGGGCATGGAAATGGAATGGAAAGACCATTTCTGGAGATATTTCAAGGGAAGAAGCTATAGGTTACCTACCTACATGGCATCAATAAAGGAGGAGTTTCAGGAACAGGTCTGTAGGGCAAGGTAGCTATGATTTCTTATAAAGGCAGTGGTAAGAAAAAGGTTGAAAATAATTTAAAGATTTTGAGCCTTAGAAAAAAGAAGAATGGTGCCACGGATGGAAATGAGGGAATAGTAAAATATTATGTCAGAGAGTAAAAGTAAATTTCTTTTTGGAATATTAATAATCTCCATATACATTTCCCCCCCCCGGGACCACTGCCACTACACCTTTTTGACAATTCATATGGGGACAAATGATATTGCTGAAGGAATTTAGAAAGCATTATTAGGGATTATCAAGTCCTGAGCAAGGAACTGAAGAGATGATGCTGTTTTCATCAGTTCAGTCAGCTAAAAGCCAAGGCTTCCAAAAAAGGGCAGATTTGGTAAGTGAATGGTTTTTTGTTTGTTTTAATGGTGACTGAAAATAGGATTTGAATATCTAGAGTTCAAATTATAGGACTAGCACTTGGCCAAATACAGAATATATCTAATGTTTTCCAATGAAAATGTTTGCCTGGAATCTTGCAAATCTTGACAAGATTTAAAACGAAAAGGGAAGAAAAGTGAAAACTGCTGGAATATGTGTTCTATGCTGGATACCACTAAGAGTGGGGGATACAACATAGAAAGAAAGACTATCTGCAGAGATGTCTTTTCATAGGGGATCAGTATACCTACCTACCCATTCCCCCCCACCCAGAATAAAGGAATAAATTTCTTGTTCTCATATATCTATATACAAACACATATGTACAAAGTATGGGTGGTACTTTAGTGTATATAAGACCCACCCTGGCCCCCATTCAAACGCTGAGATTTTCTCATGCCCAAAAGGCTGAGACTCTCTCATGCCCATTCGTCCCCATGGGCGTTACTAATGTTCAGATTCCTTAAGAGTCTGGCCTATATGATGTATCTCTAATAAACTTTTTCTCTGGCTGGAAGAAAAAAAAAGTACGGGTGGTAAGTTAAACTAGAGTTTTTACTGCAGGAGAGTAAATTGGACTTCATAGGTATGACTAAAACTTGTTGGGATAGGCATTGTGAATGGAATATGTCTTTGGAGGGGTATAGCTTATTCAAAAGGAACAGTGCTGTAACATTGAGGAATCAAGGATCCATAGAGGAGGAATGTGATGGAGAACATTTGGGTGAAGCTCAGTGGGGGAAGAAAGAGGAAACCAGATAGAATTCAGGGAATAAATCAGAAACCTAGCACAGAGGTATGGTGTAATCCTGGAATAGGAAGGGACTTTCAACTGTATTTTGGGTTCTAGAGCTTTTTCTGCCAAAAGCAGAGCAATTGTTAAATTATTGTCTTTAAAGATTATTTTATTCTTCAGACGGTATAGGAAGTGAGAGGGTGGGAGGGTGGGGAAATGTTATTCTGAATCCTGTTCAACAGAAAAGAACTGGTTACTGAAGTAAAAGTGATGGAAACCTCGGCAGGAAGTTACCACTCCTTAGAGTTTGTGATAAAGTGCAAAGCCTAGCCTGCTAGTCTGGCACAAATCCCAGGGTTTGGCAGAACAGATTTCAACGAGTTCAGTGAAAGAATGGATAGGAAGCTGTAGCCTAAAATTCTTAAGAAAAGTTGGTCCAAGAGGGATCTTAAGTTCCTTCTTGAAGATGCACTACTAAATCAGATGAAGCAGAAAATAGTTGTTTAACAAGACAGCACGCATCCATAGGGAACTAATGAAACAGCTTAAAAAATTAAAACACGTATATACGATAGCATCAAGTGCAAAAAAAGAAGTAGAAAAGAATGGCACAGTTCTGCCTTTTTGACAGTATCAGGGGCACTAAAGTTCATAATTAGCTGGGATTGACAATGTCAACATCAGCAGGATCTCAAAGTGGAAAAATATCTCAGGTGCCTTCTAGCCCAACCCCTACCTTAAAAAAGGAGCTCCCTTATTAACATTTGACAAGAGGTGATCCACCTTTTGCTTGAAGAGTTTTAGTGCTCTATAACTTAAGGTATTCCATTTCATTTTGTGATAGCTCTAATTGTTAGGAAACTGAAATTGAGCTGATGAAATCTGCCACTCTGCAACTTGCACAAATTGCTTCTACATCAAAAAACTTTTTTTAGTAGTCCTTAACTCTGTGTTAAATATTTTTTATTAATAATTTGAATGATAGTTTGAATATCATGCATATTAGATTTACAGATGCTGTTCAGTAGCTAACATGTTGAATGTCAGAGATGAGATACAAAAAGATCATAACAAAGTCAATATCCAAAAAGACCATAACAATATGAATCTGATAAAATGAAGTAAGAGTAGCCATAATGCTGAATATGAATCAGTACTGGGGCAAGGAAGCCAAAATAAGCTCACAAACTTAGTTGGCATTAAGAAAGGCATGGATTGTGGTCATGCTGCTGTGCCTTGCACCCTGGACAACATCTGGAAAATTGTGTTCATCTGTGGGTGCCATATTTTAGTAAGGACTGGTCAACTAGAGCTGGTCAAGAGGAGGATGATGTGTCATTTGGGTATTGGAAACCATGTCTGTATAAAATTTGGTTGAAGGAGCTGGTGCTGTTTATTGAGGAGAAGAAAAGTCTCTGAGGACACATGATATTATTACAAATATTTGAAGTCCTATCGTGTGGAAGAGAGGTTACGCTTGTTCTGCTTGGTAAAAGAATTGGGTGGAAGTTATGGCGAGGTAGATTTAAGCTCTGTGTCAGGCAGTTTCCTGTCAGCAATGGAATAGGCTTATTTGGAGGTTAGCACGTTTCCATCCTTGGCAATCTTCAAGCACAGGATGCATGACTACTTGTTGGATATGTTATAGGTCTATAAAAATGAGAGGACCAGGGGGCAACTAGGTGGCGCAGTGGATAGAGCACTGGCCCTGAAGTGAGGAGGACCTGAGTTCAAATCCGGCCTCAGACCAAACACTTGACACTTACTAGCTGTGTGACCCTAGGCAAGCCACTTAACCCCAATTGCCTTAAAAAAAAAATAGAGAGGACCTAAGGAGGAGCTAGGACTAGATGATCTCTATGGTCCTGTCCAACTCTAAAATCCTCTGATTCCATATTCCTTATGACCCTTAGATTCTGTGATCTCTTCATTTTGGTGTTGCAGCTCTGTTTCAGGTACCTCTTCTTTTCTCTTAATCTGTTTATTGGGATGTGAAACTTCTTGTCTCTAGGCTGCTGGTTCACTTTCAGTCATCTGGGCCTCAGTTTCTTTGTAAAATGACAGAGAAGGCCCCTTCTAGCCATAAAAGTTTTTGAGCCTATCACACAGGTAGTCTCTATAAAATGGTTTCTCCTAAGCCTAGGAATTAAAAAATTACTCTCCCTCCTTAAATTTAACAACTTGAATAACCAGAATTATCTTTGCTAAACTGTCAACAAAATTGTTGAAAGTCAGCTTTCATTTTTGGATACTGTCCCAGTTTTAAAGGATGCTTATCCTGGTAGAATCATTGAACTTTAATGACCCTGATTGATGAAGTGACTTGACCAACATCCCATAGGTGGTCTGTGGTAGACTTAAAGCTTATTTTGGTGTAGCCTCAGTTTCATTGGTGTGGGTGTTCATTATGCTATTCACACCACAAACCGTCCATGCCTACTTGTCCTGTGTCTTGTGGCATTCTTGTGCATGTTTTTCTGTTTCTTCATTGAGGATCCTCTCAATAGGCTCAGTCCTTTCTTGCTTCTTTTATTTCTTGGATGTATCAGAGTACTATTTAGCCAATTTCCGTATGTGTTTTGGTATTATTGTAACACTGAAATTCACTTTGCGAACCTTGGGCAGAAAACTTGTAACAATTTGAGGATGTTATTTGGAATTATTGTATGTCCCTTATCTTTATAAAGGGCATTGAATATGGATTTTTATTTGCCCATATTTTGGAGACTTTTGAAATTCAGAAATCTAAAGCTATATGGAAAAAGGCAATATTAAACTAAGCGTGGGGGTTGTGTATTTTATGCCTTCTTCTCAGTTCCATTGCACCCTAAGCAAATTTAAACACATTTGAAAGTAAGGAAATGCAATTTAGTGTGTCATAATCTAGACCTAAGAATGAAATAGGAACTTAACCTTATGTTTTTTGTTTATAATGTTTTAAGTTATACTGAATTCTGAGAGTAATTACTCCTATTATGTACTTGTTTTAATAATTATTCCTTTTTCTCTCATTCAGCCAGTATAAATTCATGTATGAAAAGGGAAGACATTCCAGAAAACACATATGATGATCAACCAAAGCATCTGGTTAAAACTACAGTGGCATTGAGAATTCAACAAAACATAGGTGTGTTACCTCTAGTCATTTGTATACAACATTATAGAAACATTATTCTGGAATGTGAGTTTAGCTATTTTTGTTTGTCATGAATAATTTTTCTTATTTTGTTTTCTTAAAAACTTCATACTGATATTTATGGTTTTGTGAAGAGTAGTTACTGATCTTTAAGTATTTTGAGAAGAAAAAAAAACCCTGTAATCCTGGTTTTATGCTCACGGTGATATATACATAGTCTGGGGAACAGGTAGTCCAGTTTGGCTAGAACATTGGCTGTTGGCATGGGTATTGAGAGACTAGAGTTTCGTACTGGCTGAATCATTGATTAGTTATATAAATTTCAGAATATCAAACATTTGTTGGCTCTTGATGTGTGTTTTAAGCTGTAAAAGCAGAAATAGTGCTGCCTGCCCAACTTCATAGGAACTTTAAGTTAGAAATTAGAATGCTTTGTACTAAACATGTTTTTGTTATTGTTTCAGACTGTCATAGCCTATGAATGTCACAGCTATGAAAGAGTTTTTAAATGGTCAAGACCTTGGTGTCATTTGGTCACTAAATCAGTAAATATTTATTAAGCTCCTACTATGTGCCAGGCACTGTGCTAATTTGGTCACAATTCTTTTTCACCTAAAAATTTTTCACACTCCTTGGTTTTCCAAAAAGTGATTTTTGTTATTTTAAGGAGAAACCAGACTCAGCATGATGAATGAGCAAGTTAGAGTTACTGCTCCTGTCACCTAATGGCTATTTCCCCTTTCCTGGTACCTAAGCTTTGACCAGAATATGTTCTCATCTCATCTAAAATGAGCCACAAATAAGTCATTAAGGTGGCAAATAGTTTGGACTTGCTTCAAGAGGCAAGTTTCTATTGAGTATACTCCTTGATGGCTAGTGTAGTCATTTTTGTTTTTGTATCCCCATTACTTAGACTAGTGCCAGGCATGTAGTAGTTGGCCTTTCATAAGTGGTTGTTGAATTGAACTGCATTGACCTATTCACTACTATTTAAAACTACCCTCTATGGATACAATACCTATGTAAAAATCTGTTGATACAGCTTTTTAAATATTGTTCACTTTTTGTGGCAACCATAAACTTTTTATCACCTTACTTTGAGTTTTATTTAGAAGGCTGTGAAGTAGATGGTTGCCATTTATATATAAACAACTTTTTGTCTTTCTGAGAATCATGACATTTCATGACAAATCCCAATTCTGTGACAGATGTTGGAGGGGATGAATTATGTACTGATTCAACCATTCTGTAGAGCAATTTGAAACTATGTTGAAAGGGCTCTAATACTGTGCATACCCTTTGACCAAGTAATACCGCTCCTAGGTCTATATCCCAAAGAGATAAAAAACAAAAAGAAAAAGGACTTATGTGTATAAAAATATTTGTAGCAGTTCTTTTAGTGGTGGCAAACAATTGGAAATTGAGGGGATGTCCATTAATTAATGGCTGAACAAGTTCTGTATGATTATGATGGAATACTCTTGTGCTATAAGAAATGACAAGCAGGATGCTTTCAGAAAAACCTGGAAAAACTTATGTGAGCTGATGCAAAGTGAAATGAAAACCAGGAGAACACTGTTTACAGTAATGACTGAACTATTCTCAGCAATACAATGATATAAGGAAGGACTTACAATGAAGGACTTATTCTGAAGGACTTATAATGAAAAATGCTGTCCATCTCTGCAGAAATGACTGATGGAGTCTGAATGCAGATCGAAGTATACTTTTTCTTTACTTTTTAATTTTTCTTGTTTTTTTGTGTTTTCTTTCACAACATCATTAACATAGAAATATGTTTTGTATGATTGCACACGTATAACCTGTATCAAATTGTTTCCCTTCTCAACAAGGGGATGGGAGAGGGAGGGAAAGATTTTGGAACTCAAAAGTTTTAAAAAACAAATGTTAAAAAATGTTTTTGTGTGTAATTGGAAGGAAAAATTTTTTTAAAAACATATTTTCCTCAGAATAAGATTTTCCTGGCATGTAACAATACTTAAAATGTGTTAAGAATTAAAGGCAAGACTTTTGTATCTACAGAGTGTAGAAGGACAGTCTTCTGGCTGTGGAGATGGAAAAATAATGGACAAGAATAAGAAGAATCCTCTGAGAAATAGAGGGGCCACTTCTAATGTCTCCTCTTTCTTTATACTTGGTTGTGTAAATCAGAGAGAATGTTTGCACTTGTGCCACAGTTGACTTTGACCCTTCTTCCTCTGGTCCTGGAAATCATTCAAGTGTTCTCTTTTGGTTCACTCATGTTTTGTGTTTGTTTTTTTGAATTGTAGGTGTGGTGATAGCAGCTGCAGTGGCACTTCTTGCTGCAGGCTTTTCCTTTCATTACTTCAGTGACTAATCTTAGGCACAAAGAGCTTTCTACTCATTGTGGGAACACTGACCAGGAATGAGGGGCTGATCCTGAAGATGCAAGCAAGACCTAAAGACTTAAAGAATAATAGGCAGATGTGTTTCCATAAATGGCTAATAAGTGTACTTCTGATTTGTCGTATAATCTCTCTCTGCCTTGTGTAGGCATGCCATTACTGTAGGTGGAAGAGATTTCCAAAAATAAAGTGGCTTATCTAGCTAAAAATTTAAGTTACATGTAATAGAAGATTATTAACCATAAACAATAAAAACAAAAACAGGTATAGCAACAATGTGATGTAGTAGAAGGACTACTGAATTTGTAGTCAAAAGACCTAGGTTTGAGTCCTGCTTCTGTCACTTATTATCTGGGAGAACTTCGGCAAATCATTTTAACTTCCTGAGTTTTAGTTTCCTCATTTATAAATGGGGATAATAATACCACCTACCTCACAGGGTTGTTGTGAGGGTCTAAGGAAATGCATATACAGCGCTTTAGAAGAAAAAGCAATATATACATATAAGCCATTATTTATTGTCTTTTTGAATTGTGACACCAATCAGGATGTATAAAAATCTCAGTACCATAGAAGGATGCCTCATGTTCCTTGTAGGAGAGAATGATTGGACAGATCACACAACGGGAAAGAAAGCCTACCATGTAGGCCACCACCTTGGACCCTCCACAGCAGGCAGATAGAATGGTCCAAATAAAACACATGGGGATCAAGACCATGTAGATGCTCAGTATCTCTTGTTAGCATATTATAATTATCTTTTTAGACATCATTGATAAAAAGTTTTGGTATATTCTAAGTGCTAGTCTAATTTTTCTGTTTATTGTGTCTTGCTTGAGGATTATAAGCCTTTAAAAATGTTATAACTCTTTAATTAGAAAACTGCATCAATGCAGCAGAAAATCAGTTGATTTTTCTTGATATCATGCTATAAACTAATATTCTTACTGGGAAAATTTTGGTAGAGATATTAAACAATATCCAGATGTAGTCCTTGAATCCTTGTATATACATGTGTGTGTATATATAATAATACCCTATGAGAAGATAATATTATTACAGTAATGTAACATACTTCACTTGTGTATTTTCAGCATCTTGGATAAAAGGATATAAAGCCCTGATGAGGACCCAAATTACCCTGTTTCTTTCTACAATTTTAGCAGATATAATATTAACCTTATTTCAGTGTGTTGTTTTGGTGTCTCTTTGAAGTATTCTGAACAAATGCTATTCTCCCTATTGCAGATAAAGAAGCTCAGGCTTAGCTTGTCATGACCTTCGTATTTGTCTTTAGTCTTCATGGCCCAGACGTTTTCTTCCTTCTTGTATTAGTACTCTAGGACTACAGAATGCCTAGGGAATGTTACTGAAGCAAACATGACAAACAAATATTAATAAGCATTAGCTAATTGAATCCTAAGTGCAGTAAATTAAGCCATGTTTTGTAATGGACTCTGAGTCCACCAAATCACTGCAGAACTTAAGACTTTATGGTCAGTCAAAAGCTCATTTTTAGGAATTTAATAGGAAAAATATTCCCAGCCAATTTCAGTTGCCTTGGTGTTCAGTTTGGCAATAATGCCTTTTGTTTATAGATTTGTGGAGTGGCACTTAGTGATAAGAATGAAAGGAGTTTAATCTTGAATTAGATTCTATTTTAGACTAATCCAATTTAGTTGGCTGAGTCTGTAGCTTGCCCTTGTGATCAGAGCTCTGAGTGGGGAAAATGCTCAGATACTAAGCATTAAAAACTAAATTAAAATTACTTAAATTACTTTAGGGAAATTTTTTTTACCTTTGGTAAAAAAGTGAATATTTAATATTTTGCATCTGTCAAAGAGACAGTTATTAGTAATTAATTCCTGGATTCTGAGTCTAGTGCAAAGAGCAGTGGATTAGCATTTAGTAAAACTGTCTTTTATTCCCAACTTCTATTAACTAGTTGTATGACCCTGGGTCAATGACCTAGCTTCTGTGAGCATGAGCTGCATTACCTGTAAAGTGTGGAAATTAAACTAGGTCCCTCTTAGGTCCCTTCTAGCATTAACTGTAGTTTGTATAATTTATCATTTGATTTCATTGTCATCAAAAATTGGAAATTAGCCTAACTTTTTTAATATTTATAAGCCTCAACTTCTTTATAAAATGGGGGTAATAATTGCATTACATACCTCACAAAGTGATTGTGAGGTTCAAATGATAAGATGTATATGAGTGCTTAGTAACAGTAAAGCTGTATAAATGTAAGCTATTCTTGATTAGCACGGGAATAGAGAAAAACCTTGCTTAAATATCTGCATTCCTACTCTTAAGATATTGGAATTGTCAGTTCTATTCATAATCATCTTCAGTGAAATCTGTATGAGGCTTAAATAGAAGATATGAGTCAATTACACATTTTAAATGATTTGTTAGATATTTAGCCCCAAGACCAAATGCATGAGCACTTTGTTAAATGAAATGCTGCCTTAAAAGTTTGATTATCAGTAATTTGACAAAATTATAATATTTCTAGAAGCTAATATTTACTCAAGTATACCAGAGCTGTTAAAAACTGTATTGTGCTTTAGCTAACTAGCTTTTTGTTTTAGATTTAGAAAGGACATTAATGGGAGTGTGGTACAGGTGAAAGACTGCTGGATTTGGAATCATAGTACCTAGATTAAAGTTCTGATAACCATTTACTAGTTGTGAAACCGTAGTCAAGTCACAACTTCTCAGGGCCTTAGTTTTCTTCTCAGTAAAAAGAGTGGGTTGTAGTAAATGATCTCTAAGGCATCTTTCAATTCTCCACTTACGATCTTATGAATTGAACCTTGGTCCTTTAGTTTGCAAGTAAAACAGCATTTGCTCCAGTACCGATATTCTTCAGATATAGACCATTTATGGTTTGCCATAACTTGCCATATTTTCTAATGAATTTTTTTTTTTTAAACAAAAGTTCTGCTTTTGTGATACTATTATAAAACCAAAGTTTAAGTAATTTTAAGAGCTAAAACAACTATCCTTTTGGCTGGAATACTGAGAAACATAGAATCTGTGTACATAGTGAAGATTTCCTAAGCATTGTAACTCTTAGCATATTTCAGTAGAATTCTATATTACAAACATGAGAACTGCAGTGCACTGCACACATATCTACATTTATTATAAAAAGAATGGATGAGAACTAATTATTTTGTTTTGATAGTTGAAACAGCTGAATCTAGACAAGGTGGTGAAGTAGGTGAAATTTTTCATGGCTCCTATCTCATAAGATGCCCAATACTGTTAGTTAGATTTCTGTTCAAAATAATTTGACGCAGTGGATAGAGTGCCAGGCCTGGAATCAGGAAGACCTGAGTTCAAATTCAGTCTCAGGCATTTAATAGCTGTAGGACCCTGGGCATGTCACTTAACCCTGTTTGCCTCAATTTGTTCAACTGTAAAATGAACTGGACAAGGAAATGGCAAACCACTCCAGTGTCTGCCAAGAAAACCCCATATGGGGTCACAAAGAGACACTGAAACAACTGAACAACAAAACATTTGGAACTGTCCACAAGTGGAATGGACTACCTCAGGGAATAGTGTTTTGCACATCAGTGATGGCCTTAACGTAGACGACCACTTGTTGGATTCTTAAAGATGGATTTTTTAAAAAATTGAGTAGAGCTTAAATTACATGATCTCTAAGGTCCCTTCCAATTTTGTTCATGATTTTACATTAATAAAACTTGGCAATTTTTCCTTATGTTTGTCTGAAGTCTTCAAGCTGCCATAATACAGCTTAATTTAAAAAATAAACTTTAAGGGAAAAAATGTTATTTCTTGGACCTGGTGCTGAAAAAAAATATGTTAATTATCTGTAGAAATAACAGCTAACTAAAAGGGCAAAAGCCTAATCCCACCCCACTCCCAATTTCTAATCTCATTTGCTTTACCATTCCTTTTAGCTCTTCAAATTCTATAACTGCTCCAAACTGCGCTTACGTTCCTCCTAAAACCTGCTGCTAACTTCCCTATTGCTGTTGCTGGTACTAGTGTCTTCCCACTTCCCCAGACTTGAAGCCTCAGAGGCATCTATGACTTCTTTCTCCATCACTGCCATCGTGCAGTCAGATAACACGTCTGACCAATTTCACTCCATATCTCTTGCATTTGCCCCCCCCTTCTCTATCCACTAAACCATTATCTTGTTTAGCAATTTGCCGGAATTGTAATAGCCTCCCAATCTGTTGCCTAACTCTCAGATACTCCTTTCTCCAATCATCTCTAATATCAAAATAATCTTCCTGTTGCACAGGTCTAATCATGTCTTTTCCCCAATCAAAAACTCAAAGTGACTCCGTATTGCCTCTAGGATTAAATACCAATACCTTGATATTTAAAGACCTCTATGATCTGGCTCCAACCTGTCTTTCCACGGCTTTATTTCATGTTGCACTTCTTCTTATACGTGGTCCAGCAAAACTATTACCTATTCTTGGAACTTGGTATTCTAATGGCTGTCTCCCACACATCCATGCCAGGAATTTACTCTCAACTCAATAATTGAATTCAACAAACATTTAGTACTTCCTGTAACAGAGACATTAGGAATACAAAGATACAAAAGCCTGCCTTCCAGTAGTTTTCACCTAACTAGGGATGTGGTATATACATAGCTAAGTAAATGTAATTTGAGGAAGAGAGAGCAATAACAACTAGGGGAATTGGGAAAGACTTTTCTTGGGAGTTGGCATCTGAGCTAAAATGTAAAGAAACTAAGGCTCCTAAGGGGCACAAATGAGGAAAAAGGAGTCTGCCAGGTATGAGTGAAAACCTTGCAAAAATTTGGAAACAGATAAAATGTTGAGTTGAGGGGTGTTTAGTAGGACAGTTAGGCAAGAATCAGAGTTGTAGAAAGTATTCCCTATGGTGAACTTGTGGTTGTATTGGACATCACATATAGGCCTAAAAATTTAATTATTCAGCATTTACTTGTCCACTACCTATTGAGGCAAAACCCTTTCATACTCCCTAATTTGGTGGAGAAGATAAAGTTTACCTCTTATATATTATTTCCTTCTGATAGTTGCCCTTGTTATAACAACATATAAAGAACTGGATTTGGAGCTAGGATGATGAGTTCAAATCCTTGCCTCACATGCTTACTAGCTATGTGACCCCAGGCATATCAGTTAACCTCTTTCAGCCTGTTTCCCCATCTGTAAAAAATAGAGATAATAACAGCAATTATCTCCCAGGGTTGTAGTGAGGATAGAATGAGATGTTTATAAAGTGCTTTATAAACCTTAGAGCACCATATAAATGCTATTATATATTTACATATTGCAATAATATATGCACACACATAAATATAACAACCCTTTAAGTGTTTCTGAAAGATTTGTATTGCATGTTGTATATTTGGAGGGGAGGTGACTTCTGGCTGCCTGAGAAAATACTGAGTATGTTGATGAATACTTACTTGGCTTATGGGACTTCCTTCAGATGGGAAGGAGAGAATGGAGGTGAGAAGTTTTAAACTGCAAACTATAGCCTTGGAGCATCAGCTGTATAGGAGAAGCTGGCCCTACCATGTCTCTTGACCTCCACAGCTTGCAGCTCTAGAGACTAGAGAGTGGATCTCCCTTAGGTGAGATCATTCTCTTTGTTTGAGCTGAGATCCTACTGCATTTCTGTATTGAAGAGACTATTACTCTTATGCAAACTTTGGTATTTCTGTATTTAGGGAAGGAGCAGATTTAGTAGAAGAAAAAGAAACCAAAGAAGACAGATGGAGTGGTCAAAGACATAGTAGAACTAAAACACCATAAAATCTAAGAGACTTTTTCAAGAAGGGCACCAATAGGAAATGTGGCAGAGGGGTCAAGCAGGATGAGGACTGAGAAAAGTTTATTGGATTTGAGAAAATAACTGGCTCATGTTTCCACAGCATCACTTCTTTTTGTTTCTGAAATGGCCTAAAGTTTTATAACTCAACACTATGTAGTTGGCAAAGCTGCTAACTTTAGGTAAGTAATTCTGCACCTAAGCCCAGTGTAACCTATGATCTAGGAAACTGGAGATGCAGTGGCAGAGAGCCAATGGCACAAGAGCCTGGTGGCAGCACCCCTCATACTAATATTCCTGCTTCCAGCCCAGCCTTCACAGGGGTATTAATTAACCTCCAAGTATTAATACACTTGGCAGATGTGGTGGTGACAATGATTTGGAGAGGCCCAGAAGACAGTTGGAAAGAAGGAGTGGGCCTAAGCCCTGGAAGTGATAGGGAAACAA